GGAACCAAGAACCTGGAAAGGTAGGGACTTGACATCTGGTCCCACCCCTGGTATCAGTCACCATTCTTCAGTACTGGGAACCAAGAACCTGGAAACGTAGGGACTTGACATTTGGTCCCACCCCTGGTATCAGTCACCATTCTTCAGTACTGGGAACCAAGAACCTGGAAACGTAAGGACTTGACATCTGGTCCCACCCCTGGTATCAGTCACCATTCTTCAGTACTGGGAACCAAGAACCTGGAAACGTAGGGACTTGACATCTGGTCCCACCCCTGGTATCAGTCACTATTCTTCAGTTCTGGGAACCAAGAACCTGGAAACGTAGGGACGTGACATCTGGTCCCATCCCTGGTACCAGTCACCATTCTTTGGTACTGGGAACCAAGAACCTGGGACTACAGGACTTGACATCTGATCCCACCCCTAATGGTACGATTTAAAACTGCAAGAAAAACCACAAAGCTTTTAGGAACCAGCTGCACTGAAAATAAAAATAAATAAGACCTCAATGGAGAAAAATTCTAAACTGCTAAAAAGTAAAGTAAGACTTGACTAAATTAGACAATCTGTGGTTTGGGTTAGGTCAATCGAACAACATCACAAAGACTTTAGTCCTCCCTAAATTATCTGTAAGTTAAGTGTAATTGGTTTTATTATTATTACTTCAAACTCAAACTTATTGCAGATGTGTATGGAAGAATACTGGTTCATAAACAGCTACATCAGTACAGAAAAGAGAAGAAGGATAAAGAAGAGGAACTTGTTCTGTGAGATAACAGACCAGTAGGACACAGGCAGATGGAAAAAGAGGAATGGAACAAGCAAGAGTTCTGAGACAGATCCAAGTGTACACGCCAACCTGCTGTATCGTTGAGGCTGCCCCATAAATTAATGGGGAAAGGACACACCACCAATAGTGGCTCCATACGTGAAGACAAAATTAGATTCCCACCAAAGGCTACACACAGAGATGGCTTGAGTAAAACTATAGGTAAAACTGTAGAGCTAAGAGAGGACAACCCAGAAAAATACCTAAGTGACTTGTGGAAGAGAAAGAATTCTTAAATGAAACTCCCACAGCACAAACTCGTGTGTGTCTCATGTAAAACATAAAACCTCCTAACTCTTCGTTGGAGTACCAAGTTTACAGTAGACTTTTTCCTGTAACAAAGGTAAAATGAGAAGAAATGACTATTCCTTAAGATTATCCATTAAGACACACAGGGTTTGTGAATATGGGGGAAATGGAACAGATGACAAAGTTTATGCTTAAAGGAAAATATTAAAGTATTAGGTAAGTACCATGAATTTTTTACTGCATAAATGCCTGCCAGTTCACTTCTTCCCCCACTTTTATTCTGGTCCACATTAACCCCCAAATACTTAAGAGTAAAGCGAATTATCAGAGACTCATCAGTGATAATCTCCTTTTTTCAATACTTATAAGACTTACAAACTAAAAGAACTGACACTGCTTTTCTTAAAACTAGGGCTGCATCATGAGTTCTCGGCAAATGGACCAAGAGAAACAGAATTAAATCAAAACACAGGATTCCTGAACCGATCTATTATTAATTGTAAGAACAACTCAATGAAATTAAATAATGTGAAACCAAATTCAGTTGAAATCTCAGGTAATGCTAAAAGCTTAGGGCTCTATCCCAACTTTTTAATTCAGCTTCCCTAAGAGCTAGCTAGACTAGATAGTTCAGAATTCACATATACTAAAAATGGTCTAAAAAAAAAAAAACAGAAGGGGGAAAAAAATCCAAATCAGCATTTGTTTTGAAATGAACTGCCTAGAAATTAGGCTCGAATGTGACAATTGGGGGAAAACCCAAATTCAGGCATCATGAACTGAATACTTAAATCCTCCTAGATTTTTTTTTTTTTTTTTTTTGTAGACAGAGTCTCACTTTGTCACCCTGGGTAGAGTGCTGTAATGTCATAGCTCACAGCAACCTCAAACTCTTGGGCTCAAGTGATTCTCTTGCCTCAGCCTCCCAAGTAGCTGGGACTACAACACCCAGCTATTTTTAGAGAAGGGGTAGCCATAATGCCCAGCTACTTTTAGAGAAGGGGTCTTGCTCTTGCTCTGGTTGGTCTTGAACCTATGAGCTCAAGCAATCCACCTGCCTTGGCCTCCCAGAGTACTGGGATTACAGGTGTGAGCCACCATGCCTGGCCTAAATCCTCATAGATTTGGTAACAGAGAAATATTAAATACAGCCTTTGTAACCCCCAAATGAAGAATTAGTTACTTAGTTAAAAAATTCGTTCATGTTTACAACTCTTTTTTTATCATTCTACTCTGAATTTGGTCTTTCTTTAGAGCCAGTAAGAACTGCTAACGTGAAAATCATATAACGCGTTGTTTAATGTACTGAAATACTTCTTTAAGTCTTTTTCTTTTTGAGACAGAGTCTCACTATGTCGCCCCCAGTAGAGTGCCATGGTGTCATAGCTCACAGCAACCTCAAACTCTTGGGCTTAAGCGATTCTCTTGCCTCAGCCTCCCAGGTAGCTGGGACTACAGGTGCCTGACACAACGCCCAGCTATTTTTATTTTTTGTTGATGTTAGTGTTGTCTAGCAGGCCCGGATGAGTTCAAACCCACCAGCCCCAGTGCACGCGGCCGGCGCCCTAACCACTGAGCCATGGGCACCATGCCTTCTTTATTCTTTACGTCTTTTTAAGAGCCTTCCACCCCCCGACCCCACCCCGCATCTACCTTCTGTATGTTTCAGAAAACTATAAAATTACCACTACATGGCGTGATAGAGTAATCCATAGGTATTCTAAACATATGAGATTAATAAAATATACCTTGAACAACAACCTGGCTGCCTGGGACAAAGAACTGCTGTGTGCCATCGGCTGATTGTGCTGCATACTGTACAATGGTAGCACCTGGTGGAGGAGCTCCTGAATTTGTCATTGTTAATGCCTGGAGTCCCTGAACACCATCAGATCCTGGGTTAGAAATCTGGATTGTTCCACCTTGGGCTATAGCAACTTAACAGAAAGAGAAAAGAAATATTAGAGAATTTCAAGATTGATTTTTTTTTTTAATAATCCCATATCGGAAGAATATACTCTAGGTCTAGTTATGTATTGCTTCTCATTCTCTAGTTACCCTTATTCCCTACGCTGAATTGGTAAACGAATGTTCGCGTCTTCATGAGACAATACTCTGTAAACACGTGAAGATTATTTTACGTACAATCAGGATTAGAAATTCATAGAGCCCGTGGAGTTGTCCTCCTCCTTAGCACCCTCCAAAGGAATTATTTAAGGGAAAGAGTGGTTCTCTTCATTCTTTTAGGGGTCTTTAGTTATAAACACCATCCTTCTAACACTTAAGAAGTGGTTAGTGAAAATGCCATCACGTATCACAATTACAATGAATTTTTCCCTTTATTCAGCTAACTGCTTTCTTAAGTTATCATCAAAACAAAGTAGCTATTAAAAAAAATACAGCATAGGCAGGGCCTGCTGGCTCATGACTGTCATCGTAGCACTCTGGGAGGCCAAGACACATTAATTTCTTGAGCTCAGGAGTTTGAGACCAGCCTGAGCAAAAGCAAGACCCCATCTTTACTAAAAACAGAAAACTGGTCAAGCATAGTGGGGCACGCCTGCAGTCTTAGCTACTTGGGAGGCTGAGGCAACAGGACTGTTCAAGCCCAAGAGTTCAAGGTTGCTATGAACTATGACACCATGGCACTCTACCCAGGGTGACAGAGTGAGATGCTGTCTTAAATAAATATATATATATGTACACACACAGAGTATTTTATACATATATATGTTCATATATATATATATATGTATATAGTTTGGTTTTGTAACATATATATGTTACATATATATGTTCATTCATATATATATATGAATATATATAGTTTGGTTTTAAAGCTTAAGTCTACAAAATTATAACTTTTACCATTTGGACTATGTCAGGAAAATATACAGAGGTGTCCAAAAAAAGTATACACATTTTAAGAAGGAAAAAACTGTATTAAATTTTTTTTTTTTTTGAGACAGAGCCTCAAGCTATCCCCCTGGGTAGACTGCTGTGGCTTCACAGCTCACAGCAACCTCCAACTCCTGGGCTCAAGCGAGTCTCCTGCCTCAGCCTCCCAAGTAGCTGGGACCACAGGCGCCCGCCACAACACCCAGCTATTTTTTGGTTGCAGCCGTCATTGTTTGGCAGGTCCGGGCTGGATTCGAACTCGCCACCTTAGGTGTATGTGGCTGGCGCCTTAGCCAGTTGAGCCACAGGCGCCGAGCCAGTATTAAATTTTTAATACTCAAATTATGTTTGACTTTGGCAATTACAAGGAGCGCTCAAAGGTGACTTATATTCATGTTTTGTTATCAATGTACACGATTACAATTTTAATAATGTTTTCCTTTCTTAAAATGTGTGTACATTTTTGGGCACCCACTGTGTATCCTGAAATATAAAATCTTAAGTTGGACAGAGCCCTTGAAAGGTAACTCTACTGAGTGGATTGTGCTACAATATTCATCTCTACCAAGTGTCTTGAATAACTAATAACTAATAACGGCTAATAGTGACAAATACAAGGTAGACTTCCTGTAAATACTAAGACTTGCCAGTCATAGTTAAAAGTTAAAGTTTTAAAAGAATAATTGGCCAAATTTCTTTTTTTAATTTCACTCTAATAGACAAATCAGAACTATTTATAATATCTGGTAGGCCTGTATCCTTTAATATAAAGTTTAAACAGCAGATATTAAGTGGAATCCATGCTTTAGAAAAAATAACGTATGCAGTGTTTTAGTAGACATTATAATGAAGATTTAAAGAACACATCACCAGAGTTAACACATGTTTATAAATCATGTTAATGTTTATACAGTATTGTTTAAAATACACCCTGAATATTTTCAAGTCATTCCAAATGTATTGAATGGCATCTAAGCAAAAGACCACTTAGGTGATAACCTGATAGGACAAACCTATCAGAGATAAGGAAAGAGTAACAATAAAAGTTATTCAGTTATTCAGTCTCAGTTCTCTGACCTAAGGGTCCAGTACCTAACACACATAGAGGTTGGGTCTACGGCAGTGATTCTCAACCTTCTTAATGCTACATCCCTTTATTACAGTTCCTTGTGGTGTCCTCAACCATAAAATGATTTTCAGAACCAATTTTGCTACGGTTATGAATTGTAAAGTCAATATCTGCTCTGCGAGATGGTCTTAGGCGACCCCTGTGAAAAGGTCATTCAACCCCCTCACAGGTTGAGAACCGCTGGTCTAGGGGGAAAACTTTTCTTCTAATAAGTCTGCTACTTTACCCCGGCTTTCATTTTTTGTAACAAAACTGCTTTTGATTTTGGTGTTTAACATTTTTAAAACTATGTCAACACAGACGCATTCTCTGTGTTTTAGTTCCCTGCCAAGCCACTCTTGAGTGGGACTGCCATAAACCGAAGAACTCCGTCACAGAATGTCAACAGCCCTGAAGCTGACACACCCCCAGGGAATATCACTTTATCTGGCCCGCCTAGAGCACTGTATTCCATACACGTTTTAAAAAAACAGGATATTTTTAAACCGCAACTCTTGAAAGATTCATGGGTCTCAGGATTTGGCCTTCGGAATAGGCAGAGATCTAACTTCTTAAAAGAGAAGTATGAAAAAGATAAGAGCTGTTGCTTTCTTGGCTCTTCACAGCTGGACATAAGGGAATGTTACATGCTGTCGTATGTTCAAATGTCCATTTTCAATAGATAATTAGTTTGATGTCATAGAAATAATGCTTTAGAAAAAACAGCCGAAGGTAATGTAATCACAGTGCGTGAGAAGCACAAAGCCCAGGACCGAGCAGGCACTAGGCAAATGCCATGAATATAAATGGCTATCATTTCCTCGTGGCAGACTATGTTATCAACAACTTAAGCCCCTTTTGAATCTGGAAGAGTTAAATGAGGTTATGTTTTCAAATCCCAGTTACAGAGCTTAACTTTTCAACACCAATCCAAATATCTAGCAGGCTGTTGGACTAGTTGATTTGTGTGAGAATAATTTCCTCCAAGGGCAAGAATCACTCAACAGGGAGATAACAAAGATCTTCTCTTTCTTTTTTTCTCTTATTTTTGCTTTTCTTATTTCCTTTTTTTTTTTTTTTTTTTTTTGGTTTTACTGTTTTTTTTCTTTCTCAGTAACCTTTCTCTATTGCTCTGACCAAAACTTTTTTGCTTTCCTACTACGAACAGTTGACATATCAAGGATCTGTTTCTCTCGTGGCTTTTAGGGTGAAGTCACACCATGTAATTAGATGTGGAAAACAAAAGTTAAATAAACCCACACACATAGAGGTTGGCTCTAGGGGGAAAACTTTTCTTTTAACAGGTCCGATACTTTACCCTAGCTTTCATTTTTTTATAACAAAACTGCTTTGGGGCTCAATGCCCGTAGTGCAGTAGTTAGTTATGGTACCAGCCACATACACCAAGGGTGGCAGGTTCAAATCTGGCCCAGGCCAGCTAAGCAACAATGAAAACTACAACAACAACAACAAAAATAGCCAGGCATTGTGGCAGGCGCCTATGGTCCCAGCTACTTGGAAGGCTAAGGCAAGAGAATTGCTTAGCCCAAGAGTTTGAGGTTGCTGTGAGCTGTGGTGCTACAGCACTCTACCCAGGGGGACAAAGTGGGACTCTGTCTCAAAAAAAATAAACTGCTTTTGATTTTGGCGTTACCAAGTGACAGAGGACTGACTTTTCCATTCAAAATATTATCTCTTATTTGACAATAAACAAGATTTCCCAAGGCTTCGGGATCCTGGAAATAGGCTTTGTATGTGCCTGTGTGTATTCAAAGATTTGAGGAAGAAATTTCTTAGGTTTCTAAATATTCAAAAGGCTAACACCATGTGTGTTTTAAATCAGCATAAATCAAGATAAGTTAAATAGTCATATGAGATTAACTGACTGAATTTAGCTAACTATATTTTCACATAAAGTAGTTATAATTTTATAAATACTATGAAAAATTTCCAACAAACATAAAAGTTGAGAGAATGTTTTAGAATGCATTTCCCCTGCCCACTCACCCATCCCCTTTTGTAATGGAATATTTCAAAACAAATCCCAGAGATGGTGTCTGGCCAATCATTTTCAAATAAAATGCTTGCTCCATATCAAGGCCATTCGTGACCACTCAAAATATCTTTGTTTTTCCCACTAATTTCAACTCTGGGGATCCAGGCTTTCCTAATCCTTTTCTAGACTGACACATGCACTGAGGTGTAAAGGTTTATACCCATGACTGCACACATTTTTGTTGGCAATAATGAAAAGTCCATACTGGTCTATGAGTATTAATCAGTAGTCAAGCAGAAGAGTCTCTTAATTTTAGGTTATATGCATACTTATTTCCACTTATAAGTAACTCTTAAAAATATTATATAAAATAACATAGTTTTATAAAATAATCTAAAGTGAATTAAAATGGAACAGCCAGATTATATTATCAATTAAATCCCACTTCAGTTGCTATTACTAATTTATTCAAGCCTGCAGCAGTGGTGGGTAGAAGTTAGGCTCTGCTGTCCTAGTTCAGCGGTTTTCAACCTGTAGGTTGCGACCCGAACAACCCTCTTTCATAGGGGTTGCCTAATATCAGATAGTTACATTGTGATTCATAATAGTAGCAAAAATTACAATAAAAATAATTTTATGATTGGGGGTCATCACAACATGAGGAACTGTATTAAAAGGTCGCAGCATTAGGAAGGTTGAGAACCAGTGTCCTAGTTGGTCTAGGGAGCTACCTCAATAATTTTCTTTTTTTCTTTTTTTTGAGACAGCATTTCCTGTAGCCCTGGGTCGAGTGCTGTGGCATCAGCCTGGCTCACCAGCAACCTCAAACTCTTGGCTTCAGGCAATCCTCTTGCCCCAGCCTACCAAATTAGCTAGGACAATAGGTGCCTGCCACAACAACACCTGGCTAGTTCTTCTATTTTTAGTAGAGATGG